GCATGTTTGTATGTTTGATGGTGTTTCATGGGTCTCTGCTTATTTTTATTTATTCATTTTACTTTCTGTTCCTCACACTGGAAATCTCAGTTGACCTATCTTTCTTTTCTTTAATTCTTTCTTCCACTAGCTCAAATCTGCTGTTGAAGTCCTCTCATGAATTCTTTTTTTTTTTTTGCAGTACATGGGCCTGTCACTGTTGTGGCCTCTCCCGTTGTGGAGCACAGGCTCCGGACACGCAGGCTCAGCGGCCATGGCTCACGGGCCCAGCCGCTCCGTGGCATGTGGGATCCTCCCGGACTGGGGCACGAACCCGCGTCCCCTGCATCGGCAGGCAAACTCTCAACCACTGCTCCACCAGGGAAGCCCCGTCTCGTGAATTCATTTCAATTATTGTACTTTTCAACTACAGGATTTCTGTTTGGTTCCTTTTAATAATTTCTCTTTACTCATATTCTCTATTTGGTGAGACACTGCTCTCATACTTTCCTTTAGTTCTTTAGATTTGGGTTTTTTTTTTTTTTTTTTTTGAAATCCTAAGTCCACCAGATGGGCTTCCTTACAACATTTGTAAAATAGTGTTATTAATACACACCTTCCAGGGTGGCTGTTGAGATCATTGAAAATAACATGTATGAAAGCCCCTGGCTAACTATAAAACTGAGAAGTTATTAAGACTCTTAGGGATCCCGATGAAGGTACCAGGAAAGTACTGAGAAGGCCCTGATCTGTCACCTCTAACTAATCTTAAGATTCTTTGCAAGCAGCGAATGAAGGCTAAGGCAGACTTGTAAACTGCTGAGGCATTAAATACATGCCTTGGCAAAGGCTGGGAGACTTATTTGTTCCAGGCATTTAAGGAATACTCTGTTCAATCATTAGCAGACCATTAAGCTAACTGAGCAGAGACTTTGGTGGCCACGCATGACAAAGAATATACACTTTATCGAAATAGTTCAGGGAAGTCACTTTAAAAAAAAAAAAAAAAGGAATGGCAACAACAATAAAACCCTAGGGAGGGGGGAGTATCTGGTTTCCAGAGTTTCCAATCTTATATGATTTAAAGTGTCCAATTTTCAACCCTCAAAAAAAGAAATCATGAGACATGCAGAGAAACAAGAATGTATGGTCTTTACACAAGAAAAAAAGCTATCAATAGAAACTTTTCTTGACTTGCAGAATTTCCCAGTCTGGATCGTGTTGACTGCACACTCATGTTCCTCTGTCCTCTATTGCCTGAAAATAGGCAGCTGGATGAAAAGCCTTGATCAGATTCACGTTTGATCTTTTTGGCAAGATTATAGGTTCTGGGACTTCCCTGGTGGCACAGTGGTTAAGAATCCGCCTGCCAATGCAGGGGACATGGGTTTGAGCCCTGGTCTGGGAAGATCCCACATGCTGCAGAGTGACTAAGCCCATGCGCCACAACTACTGAGCCTGCGCTCTAGAGCCCGCGCGCCACACTACTGAGCCCACGTGCTGCAACAATTGAAGCCTGCATGCCTAGAGCCTGTGCTCCGCAACAAGAGAAGCCACCGCACTGAGAAGCCCGTGCACCGCAACGAAGAGTAGCCCCTACTCGCCGCAACTAGAGAAAGCCCGTGTGCACCAATGAAGACCCAACAAAGCCAAAAATAAAATAAAAAATTAAAAAAAAGATTATAGGTTCTGTTCTTTCATAGGAGGCATATAATGTCTCGTTGTCTCTTTTTATGAGGGAAGCAGTCACTAATGGTCAAAATGCTTAAGTCCTATAATTCATTGGGGGTTGAAAAATTGTGATATTCTATCATTTCATTTTCACTTATTAACTAGGATATTTCTATAAAGACATGTTTCCCCTTACCTACTATGTGGTTACTCAGTAATACAGTTCATATAAGAAAGGTCAGTAATACTTGATTTTTTCCCTTAATTCAACAATTTTTGAGATAAAGTATTAGGTCCTTGTCACCAACCAAAAGTGACCTGTTAGCTTTTTTAGTATAATTATAAGTTTACAGATTATTTGATGAATTTCAAAATCCACTGTAATTATTATCCTTACTGAGCTCAAAGTTTCCCATCTTTGGCCAGTAGGAGCCTCTTCAAGTTGTCCCCTGAGCCCTTTTGACATGACCCCAGTAATCTTTGATAGCTTCCTTGCTATGTGTACAACAAGATGTTCCTAGCTCATCTGGTGTATTTTCTACAATCAGCCATTTCTCTAAGAATTCCTAGTTTCTTTTAGTGAGAAATGGTATTTCAACATCATATTATGGGACTTCCATGGTGGCGTGGTGGTTAAGAATCTGCCTGCCAATGCAGGGGACACAGGTTCGATCCCTAGTCCAGAAAGATCCCACATGCCATGGAGCAACTAAGTCCGTGCGCCACTACCGAGCCCATGCTCCGCAACCACTGAAGCCCACGCACCTGGAGCCCGTGCTCTGCAGTAAGAGAAACCACCGCAATGAGAAGCCCGCATACCTCAAAGAAGAGTAGCCCCCACTCGACACAACTACAGAAAGCCCGCATGCAGCAACGAAAACCCAACGCAGCCAAAAATTAATTAATTTAAAAAACGATCACATTATGGTCACTAAGGATGCATAATTGCTAAGTTGATCATTGTTCTAGATTTTTCAATGGATAAAGGTAAAATATTTCAGTAGTTTATATTGATACTTCCAATTTAAATGCAGAACTACAGGGCTTTCACTTAACTTTGTCTATATTACATCCATATCTCCTTTCTTCCATGAGTAACCTGGTTCTCAAGAACACAGAGGATAATGGAATTAAACTGTCCCATAATGACCCATCTGCTTTATCCTTGTGTTACACACACAGCAGTCTCAGAATACTACTACTAATAGCATCACCACAAAGCTGATTTCCGAAAATGGCTAAAAATTGTTTTTGCATTGACTCTCCCCATTCTTACCCATTTTTAATCAATACTATATCTTCACTGTCAGAGGATATATTCATTAGGTGCTACATTATCTCCTTGTTCACCCATAATTATGATTAGTTCTATAAATAATCATATTTTTAATGTCCATTGCCAGTCCTAATGTTGATACTTCTTTAGTCATTTTGGTTGGCTGAAACTTATTCTTTACTAGATTCGTAAGGAAGGGCTCATGGGAACAATATTAGCGAAGCTTTTTAACATTGATGACAGTTTGTCTATGTCCTTTATACTTGAAAGTCAGTTTTGCTGGATCTAGAATTCTTGGTTCACATTTTCTTTCCTGAAGTATCTTAAATGTTTTACTCTATTTTCTTTTAGCATAAAGCATTACTATAGCAAAGTCTGATAATAATTCATTTTCTTTTCCTTATAAGCCACTTTGCCTAGATGCTTATAATTTCCCCCACACCTCTTTCCTTTAAAGTCCAATAATTTTAGTAGAATATGTTCTGGTGTTTGTTGTATAAGTCCATATTCTCAATATGCAACTTTCAAAATATAGTTTCAATTCTTTTATTTCAGGTAACTTTTCTTAGATTTTAGATTTTTTTTTTTGTGGCTATGTTGGTCTTAGTGCGGCATGTGGGCTTTCTCTCTAGTGTGATATGCGGGCTCCAGGGCACATGGGTTCTGTAGTTTGCGGCATGCAGGCTCTCCCGTTGAGGTGCACGAGCTCAGTAGATGTGGTGCGCAGGCTTAGTTGTGCTGTGGCATGTGGGATCTTAGTTCCCTGACCAGGGATCAAACCCACGTCCCCTGCATTGGAAGGTGGATTCTTTACCACTGGACCACCAGGGAAGTCCCTAGATTTTAGTGTTTATTCTGTTCCTTTACTTTGTTTCTGTTTCTGTTTCAAATTCAGGGACTCCTATTATCCTTAAGTTGGATCATTTTTCCCCAATCTTCAATTTTCATCATTTTCTCTTGAATCCTTATCTCTTCATTTCTTACTGATGTTTAAGAATTTCCCCCACTTTATCTTATATTTCTCTTAATTTCTCTTAAGCTATTATCTGCTATATCTAATTGTTCTTAGTCTAATTCAGTCTTCATTTTTGAAATGAGTTCCTTTTATTTCTAATTATTTTCTGACTTTTGTCACCTCACTCTTTTCTTTCCTATCTAACATCATTTTCTTAAACATTTACTTTCTTCTGAAATAATACGGTACAGTTTTTATCTGTTTTGTGAACATGTCTTTGTGGCGGGCTTTCATTATCTACAATGATATTATTTTCCACTTTACTCTCTTTTTTCTTATAATAATTTTGTATGGGATTTTACCTCAATCTTTTCCTATTGCACTTTTTTATGTGAAATTTATTTTCTTGGACTTTGAGAAAATGTGATTCTAACTTCAAATATTCCCTCTTGATTTAAAATGTGGTTGCTTGATTTTTAAGGTTTCCTGGTGCTGTTCCCCTCTTCCAATTTTATCAGAACCTCTCTTCCTTCATCTTTGGGTCTCTAACCTGTTCAATTTTCATTCCACTCCCAATACTTCTCCTAAGTGTGGAGCACTGTCCTTGAAAGGAGCTATGGAGAGTCAGTTTTAAAAGTTTATTGGGTCTGGACTGTTCTAGCCCCTTCATAAATTTCGGGAACCTCTTGTGCTATCCCAGTATTTGATTAGGTAACACCCTTCCTAATACCAACTGCTGTTCTCACATCAGCCCATCATACTTTCCAATGAATACTTACTGACTTCCCTCTGCTTCCTCTCCTACAGATGCTAATACTATGCAGTGTGGCTCTTGGTAAGGATCTCTTGTTAACTAGTTTTGATATAAATCCTGTCCATGGGTTTTTGGTTTTGCTATCTAGTTGCTCTGTTTTTTTAAGAGGGGATTCAGGGAGATTAAAAAACCATGTCACTGCTACTACTGCTGCCACCATCTTCCCAGATATTAGAGTATATTTTAATAGTCCTTAGAATCTTATACAGAAAAAATTTTTGAACAAAATGCCTTAAAAATCTTATAACATTTTCAGAAATAAAACAGGTAAAACAGAAGAAAATGGACCCATTTTGTCTGCTTACCTCAAAAAGTCTGAACAAGTTGTATCTTGTTTTATAATCAGTCCACAAGACCATAAAAAAGGCATTCGTTGAGACGGTGCTAATCATAATTATCTTAAAGAGACGACTCATTATAACTCTCTTCACAAATGCCTGACACTGAGTATCTTTCCTCCTGTCAAAAATTTGAATAAGAGGTATGATTATCTTATAGCTCTGTTGTAAGGTAATGCATAATGCACACTTTTTTTTAGGGACAAAGGTCTGCTTTCGCCCTTCTGTGAATATAAATCTACATATATATATACTTTAAAATTGCAATGCAATGCTGACTTAATGACCACTGAAATATGTATGACGATTACTGGGTGGGTCTGTCCCCACTCAGTTGCTCAGTTCCTCCTCTCTAGACCTGTGAAAAAGAATGGTTACCACTCCACCTCAAGCAAAACAAAGCACCATCTTCATTTACTCGTTCAACAAATTTTTATTAAGTAACTACTGTTCAACTCACTCATTTATTCATTCAACAAGTTTTTATTGAATGACTACTACATGCCAGGCAATACAGTAGGCACTTGGGATACAGGTAAGCAAAACTAAATATTGTCAGTCTAGTAGGGAAAACTGCTAATCAAATAATCAGCCATACAAGTGCTTACAAATCAATCATAAAAAACTGACCACCCTAAGAAAAAATGGGCAAACACACAGTCAACTCATTAAAGAAATACAATGGCATGAAGTTCCCTCCAAAATGTTCAGTAGCACTACTAATTGGGGAGGTACAAATTAAGTAAAACCAGTAATTTTGCTTATAAAATTAGCAAAGGCTTAAATGTGATAACATTTAGTGCTGGCAAGAGTGTAGTGCAACGGAGCAGTCTCATAAACTGCCAGGGGAATGTAAACTGACCAACTTTTCTGAAAAGCCTTAGTTCTGTTTGTATCCTCAGACCCAAGGAATCTACCCCAAGAGAATACAATCTGAAATGCAAAGAGTGACTTTAGTCAAACATGTTTATCCCAGCAATATTTGCTGTGAGAATTTGGAAACAATTTAAAAGTCTAACCAAAAAAAGACAGGTTAAGCAAATCATGGCATATCCATTTCATGGAATATTATACAGACACTACAACATGTCTATGCCTTTTTCATGATTTAGAAAAATGTTTATGAGCCACTGGATAGCAAAACAGAAAGAAAGCAAGATAAGAATTCTCTACTCAAAATTATCTCAACTGTGCAAAATAGGTAGAAAAAAATTCGGCATGAAGTATGCCAAAATGTTGATATTGTCTGCCTACGGATAGTGAGGTTATAGGTAATCCTTTTTCCTATTTATTTATGTTCATCTGTGCTTTCCAATTTTTCTCAGAGAGTATGTATTACTTTTTCCCCATTATATGTAACAAGTGAACCCAGTCTCACACAGTAAAAAAATATAGATTTATATACTTTTATAACCTATTAAAAACAAGATATATAATTTTCATTATCTGATTTGAAATCAGGTCTATTACCCAAAAAAAAGGCTTCAAATTATCTAACATAGTAGGGAATAAAAAAGGACAAAATGGAGTCAAACTAGTCATTCAGTCTACAGGTCAAATAAGGGTGCGACTGAACGCTTGATTAACAGCCAATTGTGACAGGAAAGCCGAGGAAACAACTGTTTGGCTGAGACTTCACCAGCCTCACCAGTTGGAGAAATCAGATTATCCAGGACGAGCCCCTCAGTCTGCGAAGTGGATGAGTGCCTGTGGGAAGAGGCTACGAGACCCAACACTGCCATTTGCACACTTCTTAACAAGAAAGAGAAATAAAGAGTATTTACTGAGATTTCCATAACGTCTCATAGAACAGCGGCGACACATCCTCAAACAGTGAGCTAGGACGGACTCTTGTGTGGTTCTGGTGATAAAAGTGTTGAGACATTTTCCAAATTTTCAATTTTTATTCCTTGCTTTTACCATCCAACAGAAAATCTCTGCTTAGGAATCTCCTCAGCATCTAGATTCCAAGAGGCCTCAGAGGAGTGTCCACAGAGGGCATCGTTGCTTTATGAAGTCACTCTTGGACATTCCAGTATGTTACTAGCCGGCAGGCCCCTGGAGGGGAGAGCTCCCCATTGGTCTACCCACAGATCCTCTCTTCCCAAGGAGGCCGAGCACCTCTGTTCAGCAAAAGAGTCACAAGCACCCTGCAATTGTGATGCTCTGGGCTAAAGCTGAGAGACAGGCCAGACAAAAGCCCCTCCTTCAGGAAGTGCCCCCAACTGACAGACAGAGGCCCTTAATAATGTGTTAAAATAGGTTAAGGGTCATAGAAGAGGGGAAAGCAAAATTCTCTGGGCTTCTAAGAGCAAGAGCACACAGCCAGGGCACAGCACTGGAGACACCTGGAAGGACAAGGAAAGATTTTGATGGCTTTGGGGCTAGAACCCAAGAAACAGGAAGAGCAGAAGTTATCCATGCCTGGGGCTTCCCTGGTGGCGCAGTGGTTTAGAGTCCGCCTGCCGATGCAAGGGACGCGGGTTCGTGCCCCGGTCCGGGAGGATCCCACATGCCGCGGAGCGGCTGGGCCCATGAGCCATGGCCGCTGAGCCTGCGCGTCTGGAGCCTGTGCTCCGCAACGGGAGAGGCCACAACAGTGAGAGGCCCGCGTACCGCAAAAAAAAAAAAAACAAAAAAAGAAGTTATCCATGCCCAGCACTGGCTAACTGGGGACACAGAATGTGCACATACAAACCACCTGAGAATGTAAGGGACGGGCCTTGGGGTAGAGATGTTTTAGGTACAAGAGCAACAGCGATTTTTGCTCTGTTCAATTCTTGGGATTAATATATTCTCTCGTTCTCCTTCTCCTAGCCCCTTTGGCTTCCAAGGCAAATCAAGACAGAGGCTTCTGGGTAGCCCTGTGTTGAATTAAATGTTCAGTTGGCCAAATTGGTCAAATTCCTGGAACCTTAATTCCTTGGGCCATAATAAAAGGCGGTGACCACGTCACCACCTCCACTGCCCCAGGCATTCTGAAACAAGTGAACACGACCATCTCACAAAGAAAAATACTCTTGTAGGCAAGCGGTATACTGAACTGGGAAATAACATCTTACCAATCTCTCCACTTAAAATCATCAACAGCAAAGCTTTAAGAAACACTTTGATTAATGTCCCCAGGCTTCAAACCTTGGCCTCACCGTCTTAGTCTATATTCTTTCCCTCAGGGATCAAGCTCCTCCTACTGCCTCCTTTGGTCATATGCCCCCTGACGCCTTCTGGGCTCCTGCCCACACCCTGACAGTGGCCTCCTGGAGCAGCTGCTCAGAGAGAGCCTGAATCAGTTCCCCATCTCTGTTTCCACCCGCCCCAATTCAACAATGTGCCTAATCCCGCCGGGCCATATAGGAGGCCCTCGGTAAATCTGTGCTATGTGAATGTACCTCAGGGATCCTTACGCTCACTCAAGTAGCTGAGCCTAGTGGGATTCTATTTCCAGGAATCCCAAGGATACACTACTATGCTTCCGCTCCTTAAGCTCCAAAGCACACTTCTGGGGAGAAATGAAGAAGAGATTAAGAATGTAAAAAATTCTTTCACGATGCTTGGAGGGGTGAGGAAAGATGGCTAGCTGGAAGCAGTCAAGAAGAGACCAGCTGTTCTTGGTGTACAGTATCAGCACAGCCAACCACAGCTGAATGTGTTTTCTTTTTATTTGTTTGTTTATTTATTTTTGGCTGCGTTGGGTCTTCGTTGATGCAGGCGGGCTTTCGCTAGTTGTGGCGAGCAGGGGCTACTCTTCGTTGCAATGCGCAGGCTTCTCATTGCAGTGGCTTCTCTTGTTGTGGAGCACGGGCTCTAGGTGTGCAGGCTTCAGTAGTTGTGGCATGGGGCTCAGTAGTTGTAGCTCATGGGCTCAGCAGTTGTGGCTCACAGGCTCTAGAGCACAGGCTCAGTAGTTGTGGTGCATGGGCTTAGCTGCTCTGCAGCATGTGGGATCCTCCCAGACCAGGGCTCGAACCCATGTACCCTGCATTGGCAGGCAGATTCTTAACCACTGCGCCACCAGGGAAGTCCCTGAATGTGTTTTCTGAAGTCACTGATGAAGAAATCTAGTCTGGGACTGGAACTCCAGCTGATGAGTGGACTCAGAAGTAACCAGCTTATCCAGGCCTACTGAAATCACCCGTATCTTCTTGTGGATAGGTGGGCGGGACAAGCACCCTGGATGAGAAGCTAAAGGGCCACCTCTTCTGCCCTTTTAGCAGCAACTTACACTCTCCCTGACTTGAGCAGCACCACCTTAGCCGCCGCACACAGTCAGTAGGCACGGCAGCTTGGTGACTCTAGTCTTCTGACCAGGAGTCATTCCTAGTTACATGTAACTAGAATTGAAACACAAAGTTCACACATTATATCCAAACCCTATTACACCTCTTGCTGTTTTGCAGAAATTTTACAAAACTGAAAGTTATAGAGTTCAACTAGTATATTTTTAAACTCTGGATTAGAACGTATACAGACTGCTCCACATTAACACTAGTAGTCCAATACCTCAGCACACTGCCGAAGGTCAGGTGTGTGTCCATATGCAACATATGTGCTGCTGCTTTTTGTCTCAAGCAAAAACATAAAGAATCATGCTTATTCTATTTATCTAAAGATGTCCTAAATTCTATCATCAGAGAGTAACCACAATTTTCAGAACTTTCACTAACTTCATTTTAGAAAAGGACACTGTCAAATGTGCTGCCCTGATTTATTATCTATAGAGGTCATGCAAAGGGTCAAAGGTCATAGCTATTTAAACCCCCTCTACTCCAGTGATCATTTAAAAGGAAAATAGAGGGAAACCAAAGCTTGCCACATCAGAGAAACCACTGTCATCACAAAGATTTGGAACAGAAGGAAAGTTGGGGCCTCCAACTTTGGCAATGTCTCTTTTAAGTTGAAATGTCAGTTACTTAGAGCAAGTCTGGGGATTCATTCTGTTGGAATTTACCACAAGGAGTATTACCACAGACTTCTGATATGGGATCTTTGATTCTCTAAAGTTCATGAGTTCCAGCAGATGCGACACCCCTTAACATGGACCTATGTCAAATCCTCACATAGATGCTAATTAGTAGCTACATTCTCAGGTCCTGACAACTGCAATTATTCGCTGTACCCTGCTCTCTCCACGGTGCCATACACAGTACAGGTTAATAGTTTTTAAGCCTCTCAGACTTACATTCAAAATAGAGGGAAAGGTTTCCATTCAAGGTACAATGAAACAATTTAAGTGACACCACAAGGGAGCAAACAAACAAATCCAGAAGGTGGAATACTCTACAGGACTCGGTTTTTACAGTAAGTCACTGATATGGAGAAAGAGGGAATGAGGGCAGGAGGCTTGCTCGCTCTAGACTGAAAGCTTAAAGAGACACAACCACCAGATGTGATGTGGATCACTGATTAGAACAAAATTACTGTCCACAGACATTCTTGACCTTCAGAACAATTTGATTTGGTATTAGGTGATACCAAGAAATCATAGTTTATTTTGTTTGGTGTGATTATGGCATTTTGGTTTCTACAAGAAAATGACCATATTTTCTAGAGATGTTTACTGGAGGATGTAGGGGCAAAATGACATGCTATCTGGGATTTGCTTTTAAATACTTTAGCAAAGAAAAAGGAAATGGGAGAGATTATATGATGTAACTGGCAAGATCTTGGTTAACTGTTAAATCTGGGTGATCAGTACATAAGGGTTGAATGCCCTATTTTACTCTATTTTAAAATATGTCTACACTTTTTCATGTTTAAAAATTCATGTAGAAAACTTTGAAGCACTGAGCTAGAAATCTTTGGTAATAAAATGTATAAAAACTCCCAAATCTATAATATGGGAAAAAGTTTATAAAAACACATGGCTTTGCTTTTTCCTCTGTTTTAAAAAATTTTTAATTAATTAATTTATTTATTTATTTACTTATTTACTTTTGGCTGCGTCGGGTCTCCATTGCTGCGCGTGGGCTTCCTCTAGTTGCAGTGAGCAGGGGCGACTCTTTGTTGCAGTGCATGGGCTTCTCATTGCGATGGCTTTCCCGTTGCAGAGCACAGGCTCTAGTCGCGTGGGCTTCAGTAGTTGCAGCGCGTGGGCTCAGTAGTTGCAGCACGCGGGCTCTAGAGCACAGGCTCAGTAGTTGTGGTGCATGGGCTTAGTTGCTCCGCGGCATGTGGGATCTTCCCGGACCGGGGCACAAACCCGCGTCCCCTGCATCGGCAGGCGGACTCTCAACCACTGCGCCACCAGGGAAGCCCGGCAGGTAGATTCTTAACCACTGCGTTTCCCTGTTAAAAATTTCCTGCCTTTCCCTGTTAAAAATTTCAAAGAAGTACAAGTTCTAGTGTCCAGGCTCTGGATCTCCCAGCAGCCACAGAGTCTGGGGTGACTCTTCTCTCTCTTTCCCCCACCCCCCCATGTATACTCCATACCCGCAGGGCAAAATGACTATACCTGCCAGGCCAACAGAACCAGCCGAAAACTGGCTTCAGAGAGCTCAGCCTCCTTATCATATTCCCATATGACTTCTCAGACTAGGGGCCAGGGTTGGTGGGGAGTGGGGGGGATGAGAAGCTTTGCTTATTGTAACACAGAGTGATTTTTCTGGCTTCTGATGTAAGGCAGGGTATAAAGATGATCCTTGTTAAATCCTACTATTATAAGGCATGTTCCTTGGATAGATACATACACATTCTTTTAATCTACCTTTTAATCTCATTAATAACTACATTCCTGAGTTCCCTCAAAGAACAGTTACTGCAATTTTTAAATAATAGCTTACTTTATATTCCATTTTACTCATGTCAGTGACACATGGAGTAAACAGAGCTCATTACTGGATAATACCCAAGTAGCTTCTAGCTCAGTGGCTACATACCCTCAGTTCAGGGGTCACAACATGCAAATGATGGGAAAAAATGACCCTTGGTTCCTCCTCCCCTCAGTATGTCAAATAATGACCTGGCAAGTTGGTCACTGTGACAGTGAATCCTTTTATTGCCTCACCTTGCTGGAAGCCTTGCACAAGACACTTGTCTTCTTCTTTCTCCCTGTCTGAAAAGGAAGGATAAAACACTAGACAGCTCACCCAATTTTTGAGATCTCTGTAAATTAAGTAACTACTTAAGTAGTAACAACAGCTAAAATCCAAATCAACTTTAGCATCATAAGAATCGTTACATACAGTTAAACCCTTTACCTATAGAGTTCATCATTCTTTTTCTACCTTACAATTGCTCTCCAACACAATGCATTTGTAAAGTCACCATAATCACTTGAATTTCTAGGTTATAAAAATGTGTGAATGCTCCCCCATACCCATTTCTGGTCTTTAAAAATGTTATTTCTCTTTTTTAATATTATTAATAGAATTACCTGGGTTGATTTACCTTATATATGTGATTAGATATAATGAAAAATACCTCAGGCTCAAGTTTAAATCATTTTTATTTAAGCACTGATTTTACAAAATGTGATCGTTCAAAAGGTGAACT